GAGTCCTGCTGTATTACATCAAGTCAACAGCAGCAGTGGGAGATGCAGAATGCAGCCATGCTGCAGCTACAATTCCCTCTCTACCTCTTCCGCTTTCTTTCCAATTTCCTATAAGGGATGATGATGACTTCACTCCCTCTGTCAGTTCTCTCACGCGTTCCCTCATTTCGCAAACAAAACAGAGGTGGTGGCTGGTGAGAGATGGTGAATGATGGAAACGGGGGAGAACACAATGGGCATATTTGTGCCAGAAACTGGAAGAGCAAGGGTGAAAACACAAGCGAGGATGAGAAATTTAAGAAAAAGAGAGCAAGGAGACGACTGATGTAAGAATCTGGAGAATGGATGTGAGTGAGCCTGCAAGCAGTGATAGCCCCTCCCATAATCCCACTGCACTTTACATGAACCTTCTCTGGAGGAAGGGGGGGCATTATCACTGATTTCTTCTCCTTGTCTGAGCTTACTCTCTTATGTAATCGACAAACAGCCAAAAAGACTTCTTACAATTAATCAGACAGCTGTACTACGGGGACAGACATTCCTAAAACGCAGCATCGGCACTGCTTTTCTACCTAAACTTAAACAGACTGCAAAAATAAGGATTCCTGCACAGGAGACATTAAACTGCCAGTTGCTTTGGATGAACAAAGTCACCGGTGTGGCATTACTGGTCTGAAGTAAAGCACAAGGTAAAGAGTTGCCACCTGAAAGCATTACCACACAGTAAAAAAGAAAAAAAAGAAACAGCAATTACAGCTGTCTCAGGAAGCAACACACTACTGTCTCCAGCACGGCACACTACAACAAAAGCACATCCACACATCTAAAACGATGTAATAGCATTTTACAGGCATCACAAGAAACTGCGTGGTGCAGAGAAGCCTGCATACACCATCTCTCTCAGTCATAAGCACAGGAAGCAAGCTCACGCTAATTTCCTCAAAAGTAAATGAACAAAAAAAACTGTGGTAAACAGTTCCAACCCTTTTGGAGAGAAAGGATGCTGTATTTCAGTGTCACATAAAAGGCACGAGTACTGCTCCACTTACAGAAACTTCTAGTTTATCATGTAAAAGCCAGGAGGAAGAGAAATCTGTGTTAATGCCACTTTGACTGGTTTTGAAAAAACTACAATTATATCTGAACAGCGAGAATCTTTAATGTCTGTTTTCATCTTATTCACTCTGTGGGAGATGGAGAGGAAGGCACAGATGTTTCTAGTCAAAACAAAAGCTTTAAATAAATTAGTTTTACCTGTTATAACCAGAACCAACTGTGAATCTGTGTGTTAAACGCCGGTTTAGCTTGCACAGCTCTACCACATTAGCCCAAATAAAAGACAGTGTTTCTGGGGTTTCAGAGGTTTGCAAGTCTGTGTTGAAGCTATTTGTAAATTTGGTACTGCAAATAAATATTTAGTTATAATTGATTTATTCTTCAATATTCTTTATTGTTAGCAGAAGTAAAACAACAACAAAAATGCTCATAAGAGAGCTTTAAAGTGCAAATCGGCACCCTTAAATTGCCTTTATAGTCCAACCAATCAAAACACAGACATGTTATGACTTTAAAAATGTTACATTATGTCTGAAGCAGTCAAATATGAGTGAATGTTGCTAAAAACATAGTCTAAGAATAATACAATTATCAAACCAGAAAAAGTATGAAGTAATATTGAAAATCTCTGTATGCAGCCCTGGAAGTTCAGCTGAGCACAGCCTGAGGAAATGTGTTCTAGCCTCAAGAAATCATCAATGCTGTTGCTGTTTATTGCAAAAGACGTGCTGCCAATAAGGAGCTGATGAAAGTCATTGAGTTACAAAGGCAATTTAGCTCTGCTGTAACCTTCACATTATGACAATTTGCATGAAATCAACATTTTAGTTTACAGTTATACCCACTCATCTTTAGCGGCCTATTTTTCACACTCTCAGTCTTTAATGGGGTATTTAAAGGTTTAACAGAAACTTTAAAGCAACTGAGGCTCAGAATGACTTGCTTATATCACAAAGCCCAACCTTGTACACTGTTACTCTATAGCCCTACTGTTTTCTTAAGTGTCCATTTTTCACCCTCTCTCTCTCCCACACTCTCTATACAGAACAGGAAGTGGTATGTGGGTCAGAGCACATATGCAGAGATGAGCACAGGGAATCGAGAGCGTTCCCAGAAACGCACACACATAGGAAAGAAGATGTATAAATGGGAGGTTTTCCATCCATGACTTGTGAGTGCATGAAAGCTCCTGTGGTTCCCATCTCTCTCACACACACACACAGACATACATATGCATATATACAGTAACTGTTATACTGAATTTGCGTACATGTGCAGTATCTCAAATTTTCCCAATGCAAACAACTTCCTCTGCCTGACAGTCATTCTTGGCCAGTGTCCAGCCAAACAGGCTGTGTTTATTTTATAAAAATGGCTGAAACCGTGTGGAAAAGGGACCACTCAAAACATTTTGGTGGAACGGGAGGAAAAAAAGTAACTGCCAAGACTCCTCAACATGTGTATTTCTCTTCAATGATTCATCTTGTATGAATACATAAACATGTCCCCATCAAATGCTCTTGATCCTTCCTCGTTCCCTTCTTTTTGATCTCTGAGGCTGGATATGTAGATTTGTTCCTGCAGGCCACAGAGTTACACCCCGAGCTCGTGATTGCCGCTTTTAATGTTTTACCGTGAACTAGATTTTTCAAAGGCAACTTCAATATGTGGCATGTGAGAGCCCAGATGTGCTGAAGCTGTAGAGTAAGAGCCTTATGTTTGTTGAGAATACTGCCATGGACTGTATAACCCAAACTGCTTCCAGACACTGGTTTCCAGCTGCTCCTGGATCATGATTATCCAGAACCAGCAATTTTGATTGTTTGTTGTAATCTTTTTGTTTACTGATCAAAACTGTCAAATAGGCCAGAATACTTGTTGCACTAATACGAATCTGACTTTAAAAACAACACAAAAAACATTTTTTTAATGAATTTCAGAATAACTATTTATAATCTATTAACAGTGCTATACAAAAGTCTTAAGCCACCATTATATAGTAATACGCTATAATAGTTTCCACAATTCTAATAAACTTGAAAGTCAGTATTTGGTATGACCACCTTTATTCTTCAGCACGTCCTGCACTCACTGCATTGACAGTGTGTTTGGGATCACTGTCATGCTGAAAAATGAAGCTGTTGCCAATCAGATGATTTCCAGATGGTATTGCACGGTGGATCAAAATCTGACTGCACTTTTCTACATTCACACGTCCATCAATGTTGACAAGATTCCCAACACCACTGGCTCGGAGGCTGTCATGCTTTTGGACAAGATACTCACTGTTGTACCTCTGTCTGAGTGGCCATGTCTGAAGAATACTTTGAAAGACCCTCCTAAAGGGTCATCAAAATGTGCTGGCAATATGTCCCTATTGCTCTCTTGTAACACAAGAAAAACAAATTTTCTTAAGGTATGCCATACTGCACCATCACAGTCTGCTACACTGCTTCCATTTACGGTGCACATAATGTTGTGCTTTAAAGCTTTTCCCTGTAAACAGCCTTCCAGATTCTGAGTGGAACCATGTTTTAGACAGCCCTGCATAAAGACGCTGACTTTAACACTGTCGCTTTCATCCATAACTCAGAGGTGGTCCCAGAAGTTAACTTGGGAGGTGTTACAGAATGATTGAACAGATAATTAAAATTAAATACTCAACAAACAAACAAAATCAGAGGCTGAAACACTTTCTTTTCTTTCCATTTCAGAATTAACTGATACTACAACATTTCTGATGTCTCTAACAGTCCTGGAGGCTGATTACAGCACTACCATCTTTGTTACAAATGAGCTCTTATTATCACAGAGGACCAATTTCAACAAGGATAGAGTGGGATGCACATTAGATAGTAAGTCTTTAGAGATACAGATGAAACCAGCAGGGTCCTGAAAGGCAGACAGTACAATCCTCTTCAGTGTGACAGTTAACCCAGATTAAAGCTCTGTTGGTACACTCATTCCTCTTTAAGCCATCTGCAGGAACATTTTTCTTCTTGGCTCATTTGGCCATTGATTCAATGATGAGTAAAAAAAAACCCAAAAAACAAAAACAAAACATCAGCATGAGGTTACTTTAATAACATTTTCTGCTTGTATACACATTAAGGAACACAGAACTAAAAAGGCAGAAACAGCCCTCTGGGGCCCAGTTTAACTCTGTGGATCTCAAAACATTTACATGCACGAGTCTAAAATCATCATTAGCTAAAGTGCCCTGAGAGAAGTGAAAAATCTGCTTGCTTCAAACGTGACCTCCTCAAAGTTCATCTAATGAACAGAGACCACTGTTAAGAGTGATGGAAGCTATGTGATTCTATTCCTGACTATTTTTGGAGAGAAAATATTGACATGAGGGTGTGGAATGGAGAGAGGCTGTGGAGTGGGGAAACTGTTTGGTGTTTATCTTGTATGCTTCGGAAAAGCTATTTATTCCATCACATGCAATAAAACTTAGTCTGGAATCAATTACAAATATGCAAAGTACTAAAAGTACTAATGTGCCAACTTCCGCGTGCAGGAGGTTTCATGATCAGGCCTACTAACTTTAAACAGATGTCTGCTTGCAGTTAGAACCAAATCAAATTTCCCTCACAAGATGCCTTTCCAGCACCAAATCTCACGTGTTTATCTATGTTCCAGTGTAATTTGTTTTCTGGATTGAAAGAGTGACTCTTTTCATCATTTTATCTATATAAAAATTTATTGGCTGACAATTACTAAGGCAGGTATTCCTATAGTCCTACAGCCACTGCATCTGTTTCAGTGGAATATAGCTGTTTCTGTAATGGCAGAATAATTTTACTTCATTCAATCCTTCTCGTGACCGGCGTTTGCTGCAGGATTTAACAATCCCACAGTGCAAGAGTGGTTTAGCTGGGATTGAAACCTGATTAAAGACAACAAAAGATTACAAGCGCATGCTGATAGGTGTTACTGACCTCGGTGACGTCCATGACCTTGATGGCCGCCAGCTGTCCCGTCTTAACATGTCGACCCTGCAAAGAAACACAGGAGAGAGGAGAGATGAGCAAAGTGGAAATCTGTATTTTTGTGCATTGTGAACAGCTGCTACCAATGTTTGTGATTAAAGTGTAAGCTTGGTTATAGGACAATTAAGAGCACAATGTGACAATAAAAGTTGCTGCTTTATTGAAGGCCAAGTATATGACTATGCAAATCGACGGTAGTGTCCAAGGCTGAGTACACATGGAGGTTTATTCAGCCGTTCCAAAAAATAAAAACCACATTTATAACAAGTTATTTGTCTCTACAATAGCGTGGAGAACCACAGGCAATAATCCAAACCTTTATCATTTCCAAACAGGCTGAGCACAGTGTTTCCAATGTGGACTGGTGCAAAGAATTAAAACGGTAAACTCATTTTATCCAGGCAGAGCAAACACAGTCTGAACAGCTTTTCCAAATTTAAAGGACATAAACAGCGTGAAATAGTATGTGACCTGAAAGAGGCAATAATGATACCATGCTTCACTACATGTGTGAGTAACTAGCCTGCAGCTCCACCATACTGCATGCATGTTTTTCATAATTTCAGAATGAATGTGACAAAACATGCAATAGGCTTGCACAATGTTGCATGTGTACCTTTCTTTTTTTTAGAAAAGAAGTTATTGCCAATAATTGTTGAGATAACCGCAAGCTTGTGGTCAAAGCAGTATTATCTCATTCTTGAGACGCTTTCAGAAATACTTTGAGACTTCGTGAAACTCAGCACCAAAAGTATATAAAAGAAAAATGAAGGAGGCTTTAAATGAGCTAGAAGCTGGAAATAGATTATATGCTAACAATAACTTTTGGGAGCAAACTAGCATGTAGCAATTTTTGTTTTTGTTTTTTAATACCATGTAAAAATCAAACCAATAGCTTATTTTAAAGATATTGTGAAGACTTCACTTTTTATCGACTTTTTAAAATATTTCATGCCAAGCAAAAAATAATTACTCTGAAAGGATAAAAAACTAACAACTTACATGTTGCAGTTGCTCTAAAGCCCCCTAAATTAATTCAGCGTTAGGACCACTGGGAAAGGGAAAAAAAAGTGGGCACGTCTTTTTTTTCTTCTTTTTCTTTTCCAGAATTCTGAGGAAAAAAAACTCAGAATTCTAAAAAAAATAAAAAATAAAAAAATAAAAAAATCTGACTTTAATGTCACAATTCTGACTTTTTTTCTCAGAATTCTGGAAAAGAAGAAAAAAAAAACGTGCCCACTTTTTTTTCCAGTGGCCCTAATCCTCTTCCGTAGAAAACTAATAAATACTCACACTGACAAATACTAATGAAGCACTAGCTACTCGAGCAGTTTAAAAAAATAGACTGTAAAACTTAAATTTCAACCATTTGGAGAGCTAAAATTTTGCAGTTCACCATGAAAAGAACAAAAATTACCAACATATTTTTCCAGGTAAAAGAACACACCGTTCAAGTAGTTTTCAGATGCCAGAATAACACCCAGAGAACAAACCTTATTCTCACACTAGCCTACATAGCATTACAGGAAAGGTACACAGCTGTTACAGCCTGAACAAGCAAGTACTTTTGAATACAGCAATGGTGTAGAGATAAACAAACTCTTCCAGGAAAGACAAACACAGAAAGGGAAAAATTTGAGATGATGCAATGCTTTATAACTGTATTATGTGTGTAGTGCCTGTGTGCGTCTGATCAGGTTTCCTTTGTGAGAAAAGGCGCTGTGACACCTGAACCACCAGCCCCAACGACTGAGTGATGAGAGATTAACCCATTTCAGTTTAGTCAATGGGGGCGTGTGTGTGTGTGTGTGTGTGTGTGTCTGTGTCTATATGTGTGTGTGTGTGTGTGTGTGTGTGT